GTACTTTGTATGGTTCAGAATACTGTAGTATTTTAAGCGCATCTTCATATTTGATGTTATCAAAAAAGATCGTGGCACTCAAAAGCTGATCACCTAGAAAACAGAAACAGGGCTTTCAGACGATCAAATAAATCCATCAGTTCCTTGTCTGAATTTGCAAATTATACTACTTTTCATTCAGTTTTTAAAAGTATATACAAGTACTTCTCAATTTACAAGTGTAATTGAGCCTGAAATTATGGTTGTAAATTATACTGGTCATTAAGCAGGTCATTAAACAAGTGACCATGCTCAATTTTACAGTCTTTTCGGTTGTGGTCATTAAGTGAATATGGCAGTCATAAAGTGAACACTGCAATTGACAAAAAACACAGTAAATTGCAGTCGTGTGACTGCAAGATGTTGCAAATGGCCATAAATACAGGCTAGTTCCTAAGTGCTCAGATGCAATCATATGGCCCGTAGGGGCAACCATCAGAACTTCAAATCCAAGTCATATGTACCTTTTTGGGGGTCCATTGTAACTTTGATCTGGGCGTAAGTCGAGGACTACTTGTATTGCTTTACCATGCCCTGCAGAATGTTCATCATTCACTAGTATGTATACCTTTTATAAAGTACTGTATATTATTTTTTATTTTTATTTTTTTAAAATATGTTTTATTGATTAACATATACCTTAATATTTGGTAAACATCATTTTATCTGGGTTAGTATTTAAAAAACAATCAATAACAATTAATTTCTATACTTCTATAGTCTATATAATAGCTTTACTTGATTTCCTCTTCTTCCAATAATATTCTCGTTTGTCAACCTTAAATTAATACAGTTGTTATTTAAATAAATCCCAATTAAATATAAACATTTTTCTCATGTTTCTGCAAATAATAACCACATCAATATAAAGCTTCTTTAATTGATCATCTTGATTGCCTCGTCATAAATCCTGTTTACATTCTTATTTAAATTTGTTTTCCCCACAATATTCAAAACATTCTTACTGGTTAAGATTTTCTCAAAATTAGTTACACTTAAGTTCTTAAGTCTTTTTTCTCATACAAGCCATCACATTTTTACATTTCTCATGTCTTAAAGAAAAATAAGAGAGAGAAAAAAAGACAAAACAGAGAAAACATTTCTTTTATGTAAATCATCCCAACATTTTTATATTTATCATGTCAAAAAATCAAATACAAAAGAAAAAAGAAAGCATACTATATTACTTGAGGGGTTCATCCCTCTTGAACTAATCTTCATTTATATTCAAAATCTTTCTATTTCTTTAACCATATTCAAACAAATGTTTAATTTTTAAATACTCCCTCTGGTAATTCCCATCATCTAATTTCTTAATTCTCACTTTAGCCTTTTTTTT